GTGGTTTTTTCTTGGACTGAGCCATTATTTTTGGCGTTTAATATTCGCATAGAGAATCAGTTTTTCATCACTGTGACAATTCTGTCCAAAAATGCTTTAAGCGCATTACGTGTCAGAATTGAGACGAAGTAACGTTCACACGTTGGAAACGAAGATCATCGGAGAGTTCGTGAGGCACCCAAACACCTTCTTTATGCAGTTTCCCATACTCCTTAGATGTTTACGTATTGTTTCATGCAATTTCAGGGCTATTTCATGAGTTTGTTGCCTTGGGTTAGACTCAACAAACGTCTTCAGAGCATCAATATTAATTCCAACATGTCAGTCTCTGCCATAACAGTTTTTAAGGCTAAAGTCACCTGAACGAAATTTGCTGAACCATTGTCCACACTTACGAACGTTCAAAACATTTCCATAAACTTCTTTGATATTTTTTGTGGCTACAAAGGCATTGTTTCCCTTCTTGTATTCAAAAAGCATTACATGCCATATGTGTGTCTCATCGTGTGCCATCACTATAAGGGATTAGAGTATACTAAACTGTACACATTATATAGGCTACACTAATGTGACATTTAGGTGGTTCGTTTAACTATTATACGTGTTTTGCAAATTTATCTAACTTCTGGTAATTTTCATGAAATAAAAGTATTCTGACCTTACAAATATATAATTCCAGCTGAAATAAAAACACATAATAATAGCAATAAAAGGTTTAGCACTCCTAATTATTTTTGCAATGTGCATACACACACACATATATATATATATATATATATATTCACATATATTCTATTAAAGAGAAACATAAAAGTTATTATTACTTACTATAAATCACTCCATAAATATTTAAAAAAATTCTGTTATCAAGTCAGATTTAGGAACAGTTTCTCTAGCCTTGGATACACTATTATATTGAGATATGTGATGCACAGAGTTTATGATTTCATTGAGCAATTTTTTTGTGTTCTGTAATTTCTGCTCCACAGACATGTCTTACGTCAGAAATACATCTGAGTGAATTAAAATAGTAGATATTTTCAGAAGCGTGAATGGAAAGCACAATTTTAAAAATAAGGATATGATTCATCATGAAACTTTCTGCTTCTCTGAATTCATTATGAATAAATTAACAATACAAGTACAATGATGATTTTCTCAAGTAATTTCGGATAAGCCAAAATTACTATGAAAACAACATCAGAATTAAAGAAACTATTTATAATTAAGTTGAAGTAACTAATAAAACAAAATGGTTCTGAGCTAAATGTATCAGAAAACTGATGTACACGATAAAGTCAACATCCTTTGTGTGCTTTAGCCCTTACATTTGCTTTAAACTTAACATTCTTTATACACTCTATATTGTATTTAGTATACAATTACAATTCTATGTAATTTAGCTCTCATATTCACTGTACAGTTAACACTATTTGTGTACTTTGGCTTCTACATTTGCTGTTATATGGTAGTCTGAAATAAAACTTTAATACCAAATAAAAGACAATATGTTTCATTTATCATATTAAATTGTTAAATTTATGCGTAAAAACAATTTATGAGGGCAAAATTATATGCTGGATGCAGTTCTTTAGACAACCATGTGGATATTCTTCTTTATAACCCGATCTATCCATGTAGCTTATTAACAGGTACTGTTGGAGTGTTTTACATGTACTTTAATTTCAAATATTACACAATCATCAAGCAAGCATCCAATAGAAATCAAGACTAAAACAAAAATAATCTCACCAGTATTAACTTCAATCATCTGTGTTGAAATGTTTGCATTTTCAAAATATTGACAAACAGAATAAAAACTAAGGATTTGATAGCTAATGTTAGTACAAGAAAATGCAGTTTCTTTCCAATAAAAAGTAATGACCTTATCTTTTAAGTGGTATTTGAAAAGACTATTTGAACTGATGTATGCAAATAAATTCTGTTAGTGAATAAAACGTTTTGAAAAAATTTTGACTATTAAAACATTTATAAATGTTTGAAGATCAATAAACAGAATGGAAAAATCTCAATAGCTATTAATAAACACCCAATGGAAGAAAGGGGTAAAGTGTGATGGAGAGTCTAGAGGGGTTGCAACACTTGAGACAGTGCAATGGGTGATCACAAAACTCTATTTTGAAAAGCAGACCACACCGACTTATTTAATCTAGGCATGGCAGGGATGGACAGCAATCCCCTTCTGCTTTACTCATGCTGTCCATGGGTGGTATGGTCCAAGATGGGCATATTATGACACAGTTACCACAAGGAACTTGCACTCTAGTGATCTTGGGTGAGTGTACATAGCCATGGAAAGTGTATAAGAATCAACACTGCTTACAGTGTGGATTTGATATCAAGATGTCTTGAATGGTTATAACCATCTACGTGGAACCCATTCCGAGTACAGACAGAATACCTGGTCAGGCACCACTCGCCACAGAGAAGCTGAAGCAGGGGCCCCTGAAAGAAAAGAAACCATTAGTGAGGGCTTACCTCATGTCATAGCTTTGCCAAAGTCTGTATAATAGCCATAAGTAGCAGGCGATAACCCGAGGAAGCAGAAACAGCAATGTAGTATAGGTAGTGGGAGATGAACGTATGTTAAGTTGTCCACAAGCCTGATTGTATAATCTCTTCCATTGGCTGACAAAGATGAAAGGCAAAGAAGAAGGTAAGGTGATGGATTTGATGTGAGGAATGCGAGTAAACGTGAAAGAGATCACACTGGGAAGGAGACAAGGAAGAATAGGGCAACTGGATCAAACGTCAAACTCAACTGGTCTGGGTAACCAGGAAATAAATCACGGGAAGAGGAAGGTTATCAAGGGATAAAAAGGTGGGAACGATGACACCAGAAAGAAACTGTGCAAGCAATAGAACAACGAAGGCCGCAGACAGGACAGAGGAGTCTATCTGGATCAGGATGAGGGTAGAGATGATAGGCAGATAGGGGAAAACAGGACTTACCTTATCAAGCTACAGAGGTCTTGGGAAGAAAAGTATGATCCAGATAGAGGATAAGGTGAGAGGAGTGGTACAAAGTCCTGGTAATGTCAAGAGCAAAAACATCCGACCTACAATGCCCGCAGGCCAGGAGGAAGAAGATATACACCTTCAAAGAGAGATGAAACAGGGAACTCATAGAAAGAGGTTCGAATGGAAGTAAAGTGAGGGCATGAAGGACCAAGTCAATGTCCCAGTCTGGGAGCAACTGACACTTGGAAAGGACAGGGAAAGCAAAGACTCTGCAAAAGTGGGAAAATGGGATATATGTGATAATGCTGCTCGAAATCGAGGAGACCAAAGAATCCCTCTCAAAGAGCCAAGTGAAAACCTCGGAGACACAAGTAACAACTGAGTGAGAAGCCTGGAAAGCCTGAGTCAATGCCCATGAGTGATAAATGTCCCATTTGCATTGATAGATGGCCAAAGAAGGTCGAATGGGCTAAATGTGAAGCTAATCTGTGAGAGAAACTGGAACTCCTTGACAAGGACTTGACAAAAGCCAGGCATGATGATGGAGGACTTATGGCACAGGATGAAGCACCAGTGACTGGAGTTGATGGAGCAGGTTAGGACAGAGAGGAAGAGGAAGGGGAGGGACCACCTGCAGGTGGACCAACCAAGGAAACCAAGGCTGAGCAGGCCAGTAAGGAACTATCAGAAGGACCATGCATGGAGTGGCATGGATGAGGGAGACCATCCAATGAAGTAAATGGATGGGAGGTAAACATAAAGGAGCAGATGAGACCAATTCTGGCTGAAGGAATCAACAGCCAAGGCTGAAGGATGGAAGACTGGAGACCAAACCCAAGGTAATTTGTGATTGAGAACAGTGGCAAAGGCATTGATATGGGGCATACCCAGATGTAGACAGAGCCACTGAAAAACAGCATGATGCAGGGACCACTCCATGGGATAAACTAGATCTGGTCGGGAAGGAAGTTTGGCTAGAAGATTGAAAGCACCCAGTACATGTCATGCCATCATATGAATGCAATGTTTGTGGTCCCCAAAAAGAAGATCCATAGTGTGAAATCCTAGGGATCCGAGCCTGGTGCCACCTTGGCGATTGTTGGAATGGATCATAACCAGCCAGTGGCTGGCAAGAGAAAGAAATTGATCTAAAGCCTGACAAACAGCCAGGAATTTGAGAAGAGAACTCTCATCCACAGACCAATGACCCAAAACCTCTTGGTGATCCACCTAGGCACCCCAGCCC